CCTGATGACCTATATTTACTCACAACTGTTGCTCATTTGCATTAATTGTTGCATAAAATTTTCTTCTCAAAGGTCCATCGAGTATTAGAATTATATCCTAATCAATAGTTAATTCCTAGACGATGATTACTATAATGTCGAAATCAAGGTTAAACTTGACCTCTTCGTTTTAAGGAAATAATAATTAATAATTGAAACCTAATTGTTCATGTTTGTATTTATACACATCAGCTGGCTTGATTTTCAAAAAAGAAAAGAAAAAAAAAAGCCGACTAATATATAACGAAGATTACCTATATTCTGCCGAATGTCGTACTTAAAAGAATACTTGACGAGGATTTCTTTTTTTTTTTTTTTTTTTTTTTTTTTTTTTTTTTTTTTTTTTTTAATTTAAATTAGGTTTTTTTCAATTGTTTTTTTTTTTTTTGTCTTACTTAAATTGAACTAGAGTTTGTCTCAATGAGTTAAAGACTAAATGCCAAAGTACGTATGCAATGTTATTTCTAATTCCAGGAAAATAACTATTTCCCTTAAAAATCTTACAGTCAATGGGGATTGTGCTCATGAAATTCTAAGACGGTTGGCCGCCTGCGGGGCTTATAAGTTGTACTTATGAACAGAAATTCAAGTTTATTTAATTTTTTTGTGAGAGAAAAGAAGCAAAACTTATAAAACCAAAAAAAAAAAAAAAAGGTTTGGGAACTAAAATATTAAAAATAACGCTAAGAAAAAATATATATTAAATCTAATTTGAGTAAGATTAATATTGCAAATAATTAACGAACGTATTTTCACCCCGTACTAAAAAAAAAACTATTCTAAAAAATAATTGTGATATTCATCAAAGAAAAAATTGTGATAACTGGTTTAAATATAGCTAGCTTTCTGATAGGTTCAATAAAACCAAAAAACGACAATATACGATAAAAGTTTACATATTATTATATCTTTATAACGATAACTCGACAATGTATACATATATATATATATATATATATATATATATGTGTGTGTGTGTGTGTGTGTGTGTGTGTGTGTGTGTGTATATATTTATAGACACACATTTCTAATCAGATTTGATCCGCGCACGCTAAGTTAGCTTAAGATAAATTAGAGCGAAAGTGGATAAGGCTATATGACGTTCATATAGTAAAACGACAGAAATAATTAAACCAACTTTGATTTGGTACATCTTGCACAATCCAAACGACAGTAATTATATTACATTAAAACTTTTATTTGGTTTTTCACCTCGTCATAAAATGATGGAGAACAAGGTACGTACCCCTTATATCATTATGAAAACACAACTTAATTTGATAGGACATGACTAAAACAGGACATTTTATGGTCCATTATTGACCAATTGTTAACTACTTACAATCGGCATTAATTAATTACTTCTTAATTATAAGTTTCTAACCAATTCTGGGAGGACTGGTAACAACGCCTGCAGTATTGATAAACACTCAAATCCTAGTGCAAACATATTGTCGATCGACATTTGTCGTTTCTGACGCAATTTGTGCCGTCACATTAGGGTTCTCCTTCGCAACCTCTCCCTGTACTCCGAGGAGCTCCGGCCATGAGCTTTTACCTGTAAAAGATAGAAAAGGAAGAAAGAATATTAATAATAATTATAAGAGCTTAATTTGTCACTGTAATAGAACTAAATAACCATGTGCAATTGTATGAAAATTTGCATAAGAATGTCCTACATGATTACGTACCTTCACACTGATCTGCTTCTAAAACAACAAATCAGTACTACTCTCTCCTTAATTGTTGTTACAATTGATTATAATATTGGTGATATTGTTTTGCAAAATGTTATGAGATTATACACTATCTATTTCCCTTATGGCGTTTCCACATTATTGACTTTTTAGCTGCCCGCATGACTAATTGAAAGTACGCATATATATACTATGTTGCAATAGCTCGCTTTGAAGGGCAAATATTATAATTTATATGTAGTGCTGGAGCATGTCACTTCATGTGCAAGACGATACTTCTAAGTTCTATACCAAATTTTAACACTAGTCATCATCAAATTTGCACACCTTACGGAATAATATTAAAATCATAAACAATTTTCCAAAATTATTAGTTGAGGGAGTAGCTTGCACATTTGAGTAGAGAAGTTTGGAGGGCACAAATTATTGAACTGCCAAAAAAACCTTATGTTCGAATAATTTATATGTTGCCCAATACGATCATATGGATTAACCTTTCTAAAGACTAAAACGAAAGAAATTCATTCACAAAAACAAAAGTCAACGGATATATAAAAGAAAAGGGAGTATTTTGTAGGACCAATTGGATCGATTACAATGCGGGACTTTTATCACCAAGAAGATATTGATGCTTCACCATATTCTGACACAAGATATTCTTTTAACATTTTTTTGCTGAAATGGTAGATATTAGTTGTCAGTTTCCAGACCCTATTTAAATTATTTTGAATAAATCCATGAATCCTCCGCTAGCTAGCCTTACTCTATTCCGGCTTTCGCTTCCTCAAGGCCCTCGATTCGAGTCCTCAGCTAGCACTGATAGAAGACAATACTTTAGGATCCAATCCTCATTCCTAAAGCAATTCAATCTCAATTATATCCTTTGATTTCCTATTAGTGTGCCATAATTCAATTACCGATTTCACAAACCATTTCATGTTTCAAATCATCATTCCAAGGGTATTCAATCTCAAAACATGGATTAAAGAAGCAAATCCATTCATTCCAGGTCCCCAAATGAAGCTAATTTGGGTTCTCCTAAAAAACTGAGGTGAAAACAACATTTTCATGCAAAATAGGGTCAAACCCAGTATACACCGGTCGACCGGTGACAGAGCAGTGCAATACGACCGGTTGACCGGTGGTGTGCACTTCGGTTGACCGCACAAGTCGACCTGATGTAGTGCAGACCGGTCGACTGCATAGGTCGACCGATGGAATCAGGGCAGGATGGCCAAAAGGGCCGATCCGAAGAAAATCAGTGAAAAACCTGTAAATCAAAGTCCCAAATCAAAACATCTCAAAGGAAAACCACTAGATCCGGGTTCTAAGTACTAAATCAAGTCCAAAGAACCCAAGATCTCCAATTTCTACCATGGTTTTACTCAAAATCCATCAAAATTCATTCCAAACCAAAATAAGGTTTCTAAATCCGAAAATCCAAGAATCAAGAGAGGTTTTTTAGAAATCTTACCTCAAATCATTCTCTAGGCGCTGAAAACTTCTTGAAACTTTCATTTGGTTTGAAATCCGGGTGATTTGAGACAGAAATGAGAGAGGGAGAAAGAGAGAGAGTGAGAGAATGAGAGTGAAGAGAGAGAGAGAGAATGCATGGGAAGGAAAAAGGAAAAGGAAGAATAGAAAAGAAAAGAAAATGAAAAAGGACAGGTGTCACAAACTTAAAAGACAGTCCAGAAATGTGCCCATACACACTTCTGGGTAAAATGTAAATACTGAGAATATTTAAATACCTTAGAATTATTTAAATTTACTCGTCAGAAACATTTTTTAATCAATAATTAATTAATTAAATCAGATTAAGCACACCAATAAATCTCAATTAGCTTAATTAATCTCATTTAATTGTTCGGGGTGTTACAATGACACTATTACAATATTGGTGTCGCTACATCATGAGTAAACAAACATTTTTGGACAATTGTTTGGCTGCCCTGAAACCTATGACACTATTGCAACATAGGTTTCGCACCAGTCCACTACCAACTGAACACCTTACCTATATTTATAAAATATATAGCCAATATTATTTTATATTAACTATACTATTACAAATATATATATATAAATTAAAAATAAGATAAACAAATAAAAATACACTAAAATAAGACAAAATTACATAAACGTAAATAAAAATCAAATAAACCAAAATAAATTAAAACTAGTTAAAAACACACTAAAATAAATGAAAATTTTGAGAACTAAGCCAGTTTTTTTTTATCACAACAAGCAGTAAAATAACTCTATTTTGCAGAGTTATCAGTAGTTATGGGACGAGAACGTGAGTTTAGTGGCTTGTAATTTAGCTTTTTAGATTTTAAATCATAATTATCTTACTCTATTTAAGGAGTTCAAGACAATGAAACAAAGTGTCAAGAAAATATATATTTTGAACATTTATTGATGCTTTTGGGAGGTAATTTGAGTTTCTCGAAAATTCAATTGGAAGGTTTAGCTTGATTTCTCAAACAAATCTAATTTATCTTTTTAGCTTTCATTCAAAATACGCATTTGTATAAGAATCTGTCTCACTAGAGTTTGGTTTGAGTGAAGTTAAAAGACTGCATTCTTGTAATTTCTGGACTTAATTTTCATTAAGTTCTCTTTTTCTATTTGTGTTGTTGTATTTTATAAAAGAAATAAAGAAAAAAGAAAAAAAACTTAATCCAAATGTATCTTTCATGTTAAGATTTTCTACATACGGACGCAATGATCAATTAGACTTAACCAATTAGCTATTTCGGAACCCATTTCACCCTGTTGAATTCCCTCATCAAGCAAATTCGAAATTAAAAAAAAAAAAAAAATCAACACTATCAATAGCGCAAGGGATAAAAGAAACAAAAGAACCGAATCAATGAAAATTAGAAAAACTGCCTCCTAATAATCGCGAGAAACCCAACAAAGAGATACTAAACTATGGCCTACAATATTATCATTCCTCCGAATTCAAATGAAAGAGCAGGAAGAGAAATCCCGAGCCAAATCCATAGCTTTTGATCAGTACATTGTGATTATAAAATTTTTTAACCGTGCTAAGAGTTTTAAAGTATGAAATATTTAACCTTTTTGTTGCTCGTATATACTTTTGCTTGATGATTAAACACAAATTTATATCGTAATCATGTTTAATGTATTTTTTTTTTTTGCTTGGATCATATCATTATTTACGATTCATTCTTGTTGATTAAGAAATAATTCAATTCCATAGAGTGAGTGGAAGGTACAGAAGTACTGTAAGGACGTATATAATGTGATTCTCATAAAAGTTGCGGAAGATGATCAATATCTTATTGATAAACACAAGTAGAATACAGTAGAGGAGGAAGATCATCAATTTTTTATTTTGTAATTTTCAATCATTAAAGTGGAGTAACACATCTCCTATTATTTTAATTACGTAGGTAGGAAACATACTGTATAAAAGTACAATCACATAGCAGAAATTGTACAATTCCCTAACCAATTGTAGGGACCTTATAGACGATGCCGTGGTTGTTAACCCAAACCCGAACCCTATCACATCGGTAGTCTGCAGTGACGACTGATCCTTCTGTCACAATTATGGCATCAACAGCAGGATTTTCCTTTTCAATGATCTTCTCAGCAACCTCTCCTTGAACTCCGACAAGTTCGGGCCATGAGTTCTTCCCTACATGCATGCATTTAATGAAAAAATTAAGTTATTCAATTTCATCACGTCACTCACGTCAGTTAGTAGACTTGTATTGAAAACGCAAAATAATCAATTAAAAAACATTTGAAATTTCTTAAATAATATGGTATATATAATTATTGTTAGTTACGCTATTTGAGACTTATATATAAAGTTGGATATAGAATCTAAATCTTATATATATAAACATGTGACTAAACGATCTATAGCTTTTACATCCTTTTACATTATATTCTTGGTAACAAAAACCTAACGTTTACCTGAACATTCTGTCGACATATTTGCCTTCTGATCTTTTATGCTCCCTCTTTCTCTTAATTGTAGTTAATCTGTTTAATTATGCAATGACATATAGAGAACAATAGAAAGGAGTATTTATAGTGCAAATTTCAATAGCTTGTAGGTGTGGATAGTCATTTTTGACTTTTTGGACGCCGTAATTGCGTTTGCTTGCGAAAATAAACCTTATCGCCAAGAAGGTAGACTTATCCAAATACAGGTAAAAGGAAATAACACGGCGAAATTTGATCTATTTATCATGAAATAGTGTACAAATTTGCAACCATGAAGTAAGTCTATAAGTTTGTAATTGAAACGGTCTAGATTTGATTCGATTGTTATACGTCTTCTTTATAAATTATATATATGTGAACCCTTAAAAAGTGCGTGTTTATATATATATGTGCGCGCGACAAAACTCTTGAATTAGTAAAGTAAAGGAAACCTAATATGTTTACGCGTATTTTTCGGTTAGAAAAGCAAAACGATAGACATCCAACTAATAATTGTAAAAACTCATTGATTAATCACATGAAAGGTTATAAATTTTTCTGTTTTTTTTTTTTTTTTTTTACAGGAAAGGTTAAAAACTTATTATCGAAAAAACATATCTTTGAATTTGTGCAGTAGGGGAAGTCTTTTATTTATTTATTTATTTATTTATTTTTTTTTGTGTGCTGAAGTTGCATTAGGGGAAGTTATAGGCTACAATAAAATATATAAATGATTTTTTTTTAATGAAGGAAGGACAATTAATATTGTAGGAGAATTAGCATATTCTAACTAAGTTATCACCCTCTAAACCTCCTATCCTTCTAATAGGCCATCCCCTCAAAGTATTCCTCAAATAAAAGAAAATACAACATTTTCAAGGATTATTTTTATATTTACCCCAAAACTATGTCACATGTGACTTTGACCGCTTAAAATATACCGCTATATCCCCTCAACCTTTGTTCTTCTAACAAGTAACTTCTTCCAACATTTTTTTTTTTTTTTTTTTGACGTGAGTTAGCAGGATGTTTAGCGATACCCTCCCCACCATAAGTGATATTTTTAGTGCCAATACTCATTTCCCCCTTCCCAATCCAAAACTTTCTCGTTTATGTTTTCTCTTGTTACTGCTCGTTCACTTCGCTGATTCGAGTTTGTAATTTGAGTTGAAATGTGATTTTATGTAAGAGCTTTTTACTGTAGTAAAAAAGTTAGATGTGACTATTTCTGAGAACTTTTTACTGTAGCAAAACTCAAATTCTAAACTCAAATCGGTGAAATGAACGGGAAGTCAAAATCTTATTGAGGCCTTATTTTTTGTGCATTTTAAAAGCTTGCTCTTTGCAGAGGGTTAAAGTTCGTGACAAGCAGTAGATCTAGGTACTGCAAAACCTAATAATTGCGGTCGATATTGATATTTTGGATGGTGGTAATTGATTTTTGTCGGTTTCGCTGTTAAGTTTGAATATAAATTTAAGTTTTTATGAGACAAAATATTGTACCAAAAAGGTTTAAATTGTGATTTAAACTGTTAACCACAACATTGAAAATTTCGAAAGCTCTATTTCTAAGGGATTTTTCTTGGTTTTTTGTTTTTTTTGGTTTTCCCCTAAATTGTTCTTTGCGTACAAAAAGATGTTCATAAAGGTTGAGGTACTTATATGTACAGATCCCCCAAATTAGGAATAAAATTGACATGGTTTGTTAAGCCGAATAGAGCATGACTACAGTTGAGAAGATCTATATATATGAAGTTTGCTTTGAAAGACGATGAAGATGATTATATTTGCAAAATGGAGATCCACGTTAAATTACTAATTTCCCCTCCTTTAGGGGATTATAAGGGGATGATTGACGACAACGCTCGTGGAAAAAGAAAAAAATAAAACATTTTGACTGATAGAGAGAGCAGCGATAGAGGTGATAGAAAAAAAATAAAAAAAGTTTAACCCAAAAGTTACAATATAAGAGAAATAGGATTTCCATTAAACACTATTTATGACAAAACTCGGGAATCCATCCAAATATTACTTGTTTAGGTCCTTATTTCGAGTTGTTCTTTATTCTAGTCTCACCAAAATCTGACAGGCTCCAGCATTTCTTTGAGGTCCAAAATACGCTCTAAAAGTAATCAAGAATAGAAGATAAAAATCTAGACTCATGCGCTCTAAAAGTAAGTTCAACAATTTGTTAGATTCTTATAGTATCTGCTAGGAATTTAGAAAACTACCATGTTGGGTAATTGATGGTTTAGGATTATTCCATAAACTAGCAATGTGCAATTCATGGGCTTGACTTTTACTGGTTCAGAAAAGAGTATAAAACATTAGATTCTCATTTCCATGCATAAGCATTTGCTTTCGGGGTAATCTAACCGCTCTCTCTCTTGTCTTTTCCTTAAATTTGTAATTTTTTTAATTATAATTTTAATATATCGAATGGGATATTTAGTGGATGTCAATTATTCTTCTCTTTGATGCCAATTTTTTTCCATTATTACTTTCTTTTGTTAAAATTAAAAGCGATATTACCAAGAGAGATCTAGGAGAATGATAGATAATTTAAAAAATGTAGAAAAGGAATCAATCTCATTTATATGTTAATAATATATTATTTTAATAAAATTCATGTATCAAACATTGAACGGAGAAAGTGACAAAAAAAAAATAAATAGAAAAATTAATATTAACATTTTTTATTGAATAATTGGTATCAACAATTAGTCTTTAAAAATTAATTGCCCTGATGACCTATATTTACTCACAACTGTTGCTCATTTGCATTAATTGTTGCATAAAATTTTCTTCTCAAAGGTCCATCGAGTATTAGAATTATATCCTAATCAATAGTTAATTCCTAGACGATGATTACTATAATGTCGAAATCAAGGTTAAACTTGACCTCTTCGTTTCAAGGAAATAATAATTAATAATTGAAACCTAATTGTTCATGTTTGTATTTATACACATCAGCTGGCTTGATTTTCAAAAAAAGAAAAGAAAAAAAAAGCCGACTAATATATAACGAAGATTACCTATATTCTGCCGAATGTCGTACTTAAAAGAATACTTAACGAGGATTTTTTTTTTTTTTTTTTTTTTGTCTTGGGAAAAAAAATCTTTTTGTAATAGAAAGAAACAACAAATGAATGTCGTTCGTACGTAAAAGATAAAAGCTTACATAAATTGAACTAATTCCAGGAAAATAACTATTTCTAATTCCAGGAAAATAACTATTTCCCTTAAAAATCTTACAGTCAATGGGGATTGTGCTCATGAAATTCTAAGACGGTTGGCCGCCTGCGGGACTTTGTCTTACTTATGAACAGAAATTCAAATTTATTTAATTTTTTTTGTGAGAAAAAAGAAGCAAAACTTATAATCAGATTTGATCCGCGCACGTAATTAAAGATATTCAATTTTAGCTGTTCAAATATATAGTACTATATTATATATGAACATAATGGGACTTGCGGATTATAAAGACAGTGATTTAGAAAATGATATTGTAGCTGGCCAAACGTTGAAATTTCCAGTATTACTTGTGTAAAAGGTCTCAAAACCAGAGGTTATAGGCTAATTATAGAGCCGTGTAAGGTTTTTTCTTTGCTTCGTGTAGGTACGTATGACAAGTAATACTGGAAATATCATATTATCTACTATGGCTGCGGTCTATGAATAAGTTTGAAAATGAATTAGGTGTGTAACTTTGAAGCAGGAAAATTGGAAAGATAAGTATCATTCTACAACAACATTACTTCTCCTTAATTCACACACATGTATATATATATATATAT